AAATGGTTAACTGCAATTTTAGAGTTTTATTACGTATTCCAATTTTAAAGTTTACGAATTGTGCATTAAAACTGAAATATATGGTTACGTATAACATATACCTAGCATTTATCAGTTATACGTAATACCCGTTGCGGTTAATTGGATGTCAATTTACATTAAAAAATTTTATTAGACCAAAAAAAAAATTATTTTTTTACTATATACTGAAATATATATATCAGATGAAGATGCCCTTCATTTTTTTTTTTTTTTTTTTTTTTTTTTTTTTTTTATACTATAAAATAAATGTTATTAGCTAAAATATGTAACAAAAGATACAGTGATATATAATATAATGTAACACATATCGTGATACATATGAAATATAATTGATATTGTTATATTTGCTTTAAAAATTTAACCTAATGGTTGAACTCCCGCAACCTTTTGTTATAAATGCAAATTATATATATATATATATGCGCATTTTATTTCATCGTTTCCCACCATCGCCCGCTGCTGTCGTTGGACGACCAAAAAATGAGGATTGGAATGAAGCAGCTGATTGTTGGAATTTAATTGTGGCATCTTGACCTGCGACTGTCGTAATAAATTTAAATATCGTACATTTGAGCCATTCTTCCCATTCGTCTTGTTTTCCTTCGAAAAAATTCTGTCCATGATTGTTCATGTTTGAACCACCAAGGTGACCATTCTTGTTCGCATCTACACCTTCACAAGATTGATCGAAATAAGTTTGCAGGAAGTCCTCCCAATCATCGCCTAACATAGATATCTTTTCTCTAACCCCGCTTTTTAATTTGGCCCAAGCGCGTGAATTTCGTAGCATTTTCCGGGTATCATCGTAAAACGTAAGAAGGTACGAGACGAAGAATATAAAAAAAACAGTCGTTATGCAAAATGAATATATCATTATGAGAGTAAAGAGTTGTACTGCATAAGAAGAGACTATTCTATGTGGTAAGTTTAGGGTTCTAGGTAAAAGCGAAGAGAATCCTGTGCTACTGTTGTTGACCTTACGGGAGCCATTTCGAGTTCGAGTACGAGTAGTCGCAGCACCTGCAATGTCGCTCCTACTCAAAGATGGAGTGGAATGTGGTGATACTGGACTTTGCGTTGAATAAAATTGGTGATT